AGTATTTATTTACATGCCAACAATGTCCAAATCTTTCCAGACAAACAACGTTTTTAAGTTAAAAAATAAAAATATCGGTGACAAAGCTAATTGAAATATTATATAAGTTAGTACATACTGAAGGGGTTCATTTTTAATAATTTATACTTATATGCCAATTGTGTGTATGTATTACCCTGTATCCTATAATCTATAAGTGGTTGCATTAAAATTTAAAAAAAAAAGTGTTTAAAAAAATACCTTCGATGTGCCGAAGCTTATATACTCCTTAACCAGATCGAGTCCGATTGTGCTATTAGTCTACAATTAAATACAGTTGATGTTGAATCACTCATCATTTATCCAACAAATCTATATTGTGTACATGTGTAGACTAGTATGGGTGTCATTTCGTAATAGCAACTTATTTCATAATAGGTTTTCATTTATAAGTAACTTTTATGAATTAAATAAGAGAACTCTGGGAAATTTGTACAAATTTTGAAATGTTTGTATCTTCTCGGAAATGTTTCTTTAAAATTTTTAAGCAAACATATATGTACATATACATTTGCAAAATTAATTTTTTCAAAGAGTACGGCTAAAAACTGAAATCCAGTTAAAGAAAGCTATTTCAGGCACGTCTAAGATGGAGCCTGGTGTGAATGATTTTGTGTGCAGTTACTGTTATCTTTGTTATTAAAAACTAGTATGGTTCGGTAGTCCTTAGTCATGGTGGGGTCATTCAATGTGCCTTTCTTTAATTGTGTCGCTTAAGTTTAAGTATTTAATATTTAGTACAAAGTTTGTGGTTTGCTGAAAAGTGTATCTAAATATATTTTTGATTATTAAGTTCTAAACTTGGACTCATTTGTTTTGGTTGTGGTTGATCTTGTTGCTGCTTCAGTGTTCTAAGCTTCGTTCACTACATTGTTTAACTTTTTCTTTTGCTAGTTTGGTATAAATATTTGTTAAGTAAGCTTTCATATATTTTTTGGTATAAATTATTAACATTTTTTTTAAATGTTTTTGCTTTTGTGTACTAAAAATACATAATCGCTATGAGCTTTATACCATAGCCCATGACAATAATGTCGTATATATTTAAGTGTAAGGAACGATTATCGATAAGAGACTCAATTTTTTAAGTCGTACAGTATTGTATTTCAAACATTGTATTTACTGTAATTATTCTATTTTATAAAATCTTGTACAAAATGATATAAATTTGTTAAAACATAAAAATAAACGAGGGAAATTGTTTTTAGCGTGTACAATCCGGAAAAATTATAAGATTAAGTAATATACTTGTATAAGCCTTTTCTAGTTTGCTATCGATTTCACTCGTGTAATAGCTGTGCCTATAAATGCCTATTTAATGAAGAATCTTTGAATTAGAGTAAAAGTGTGTCATACATTTTAGCCCACATTTGAGTTAAATCTTCATCTATTTGTGTATTTAACCAACAGAAAAGTTTCATACGGAATCCATAGGCGTTTCTGATATGAATTGGTTTCCTTATTGTATTAATAGGCGTAGTATTGTTTTTGAAAAAAAGCTCTGCAACCAACTGTATTTTGGCAAATTTTGTGAACAAGTTGCAAGTACAAGTCGAAATGTGGACGCGAGCGTCTTCGAGCTGGCTATATTATGTAGTTAGGCGAAACCTATCCTTTCTCCAATTGGTTGTCCCTCAGCATTATTTAGTGCGTTCCAATTTTTATTCTTTTTACTTAAGGTACAATTGTTTTAAAGAATTTCGGCGTTCCATTCGATATATACATCTCAATTTTTCCATCACATTTCATTTCGAAGTTTAAATACGTCTTAGATTTTCTATGCCGATATAAGATAATTTTCAATGTATTTATTATTTTTTATTTGGCTTCGGGTGCCCCCTTTTTTTTACTGTCAAAGCTTGTTAATATTATTAAAAACCAAGCATTACCTGTATACAAGGAAAAAACAAATACATTTCTTTTGTGTTATCGCCTTTCTTAGGGTTGAAGTCACAGCCTTTTCAATGTTGTTTTTGAGTTATTAAAACAATTAATTTATTCGCTTTATAAAATATATTTTCAATATACGCCAAATTTCCTGTCCGTGAGTCTGTTAGTTATAGTGCAATTTTATACCATTATTTATACCATTAAAAGCTCTGCACATTCACAAGCCGCATTGTTACAACAAATTGAAAATTGAAAAACCATAGGAAATGGTTTAATTTTAATTGTTTTTTTTTTTAGTTTATTACCGGTGCTTTTATTCCGTTAAGTGTTAGAAACAATATCGAATTATATATTGCATTTTTAAGTTTAAGCTTGCATTTGTATAGTTTTGCAAAAAACAATTTCTTTTTAACATGAATGAAATGCTAAAGTCGTGCGGGCCCGACTCTTAAAAGCCCTTTACCCTTAATAAGGAAGGCAAATTTTGAAGTTTAATCAAATTGCTTATTTTGAAATTATTAAATAAAATAACATCTGTTGATGTACGTTTTCAAACTGCATAAACTGTCATCAGGCTTGAGTTTATACTTTTGTGCATACGGTTGAACCAAAGCAGCTGGCACAAGAACAGCTGCTGGCAATGCATGTGTAGAGAATACATTAATTTCTACATCTGCCTTCAGAATAGATCTATCGCAATGAATCTTGACATGACATGACTCATAACTGGACGTAATTGTATTTTAATTTTGATATACAAATCAAAGAATTATGGGAGCTATGAAAAATAAATAGTAGCGAGATAGTAGAGTGTGCATCAGAAATTCTAGGTCTTATGCTTTTTGAGATTGTAGCGTTCGTACATAGGGAGAGACAGTAAGATATACGGACAGACAGAGATGGCTATATCGACTTTTCTTAAGTTACTTATTTGGAATATACATACATATTTTATGGATAAACCCCTTGGGTCCACTGTATAGAATGGGTTTTTGTTTTCATTTCATTCAATAAATTATTTTTGTTATATAACATGGAATAATAAATTATTTTGTAATGTTGTTTTATCTAATACTTAGCTTCATATAATGTTTGATATGAAATAATTTAATTGAATTTGACTAGATTAATAATATAAGATTGCAAGCTTGGTCTCGTCCCCGAGATCGATCAAAATTTGCATAGGTTTTACTAAGAAAACCGGTTACCCAGTTGTTTTTTTTTTAATTTGATAGCATTTCGGAATAGAGACCATTAACCATTTGCCAGTTTTAACGGAAGAGTTCAATCGCTTGTGTTTTGCGTTTTGATACCACGTGGGAAATTCTGTTCTGTATATTTTGATCGAATTCGGAAAGAGGAACACGTCTTGTATACTTGGCGGAAATCTTGACAATTTTTATCTGTAAGATCCTTTTCCAATGCGTAGGTGACTTTTGCAAATTATGAATCGGTTTTATAATTAACTTAAATTCCGGAAGCTTTAAGTAAGCATACATTTTAATCATACTATTTTTTGCAATTTACTTATTTTGTTTTAGCTTTCTTCGACTTTTTTACAAATATTATTTCTTTATGATATATAGAATTTTTGCTACCAGAGAAATTATCTTATATTTTTGAGATGTGTGTCACTAGCTGCGACTATGTCAAAAAATGGGTTTTCCATTAATTTGGGGGTTATTCTTGGCAAGCACAAAGCATAAGTTGCAATATAAAAACAGGATAGCTTCGACTTGAATTTGTATGTATGTATTGCATTTATAACAAAACCAACTAACTGTAGTAACAAATTTGTAATATTCTTGTATAACTTATGTATTTATAAAATAATATTTTAGTTTATATGTATAAATTACATGTTAAATAATATCGTCCTCAACCTTATAGACTAATAAGTTAATTGTAGGTTCTCACTTTATGAGAACAAATTGGTTGTTCTTGTAATTTTTGGCATTTTAGCTGTAGATTTATTACATGTTGTACATTTCCGCTGCTACCCACAATTGTTTAGCAAGTCCATATTCGGCTTAGCGTTTGTTTCTTTAAATTGTAGTTGGATACATACAGCTGCTTTACTGTTTCTATGTTCTCAAAATAGAGTGCGCTTTCGAATGTCAAAGAAAAGTGTGAAATGAATGACGCGTGTATAGAATTTTTTACCTTTGTAAAAATTATATCATTTTATATCAAAGAGCAAAAGGTATTTATATGATAATTATAATACACTTTCATATGTACGAGTATGTAGGTATACTTGAAGTGTATTTTCTGTAATAAGTGTGGGCTGTCAGCTGTAGTCAGCATCTTGGAGCATGTGAGCCATACATACATAAATTCCATAGCAAAACTGTTACGTTTATTCATTTGTTAATATATAATATATATATAATATATATATATATATATATATATAGATATATATATATAGATATATATATATATATATATATATAGATATATATATATATAGATATATATATATATATATATACAATATATATATATATATATATATATATGTATTTTTTTTTTTTTTTTTTTGTATGTATTTGTAAGTACCTGTATGTGTTTGTTTTTTGTTTTTGTTGCAAGCAGCTAATTTTAAATGTAAAGTTTAACTCTTTATGGTATAAAATAGTTGCAATTATATATTTCAGCTTTCAATAGTAAAACGTGCGTTTAAACTAAAAACATGTTTCAATGAGAATGCATGACAACGTTGCGTTATAATGTTCTGATTTCCAAAATGTATTATCCAATGATTTCTTAAGGTTGCTCTCATAACTCTAAACAATGTTTTCAATACTTAATATTTTCTAAAAAATGATATTTGTTGCAGGCTAAAACCCTTTTGTGGTTATATTACACACATATATGTATATGTATATATATATATATATATATATATATATATATATATATATATATCTATATATATATATATATATATATATATATATATATATATATATATTATATCTATATATATATATATATATATATATATATATATATATATATATAATATTATATTATATTATATTATACCGTATATATCGGTATACCGTAATTATATATACATATATATATATTCTTTTTATCCATTGTTAAGCAATCCCATATTGATTTGCATTTATCTGCATTACCTACCTCTACAGTATTCAGATTTTCTCTTACATTTAATTAAATTCGAATTTTTGTGTTAAGTTTTGTTTGTATACACATACCATATTTGTATATGTTTTGACATTTTCTTATAGTAAATACTAAAAAGTTAAGGTGCTACCTCGTCAATATCATTTTAAGGTTCTTAAAGTTAAAGTTTGCATAATTTTTTGCTTATCATCAAATCAACAAATATATTGTTTGATAGGTTTTTCACTAAATATTTGTATCCGTCTTAAATTTGGTTTTTGTGTATTCGTTTGGGTTTCTCAGATCTTATTGGGTTTTTTTTGTCCTTAAATTCCCATGACTAAGTTGCATTCTTTATTTTATTGTTTTGTATAAAAACTTTACATTTTTAAATTTATGTATTTTTCATATTGAAAACCCAGATACTTTTGGTCTCATACCAGTCAGTTTTTGTCTCAAGTTAGTGTATGTGTAAGTTCTTCCTCATTTTTAAAATTCTTTTTGATAACAACACTAAATATTTGGTTGCTTTTATAAATATATATAATCGATATTTTGGCAAAATTTATTTGTGTTATTTTTAAGATCGGCACTCGTCTGCATCTACCACCAGACCTCATTATGCACATCGTTTCTGTTGTATATATTTATATAAATCTATTCTTTAAATTTCAGCTCTAAGGTATATCATTATTTTTCTAATTTTAGGTTTATAGATAAATACATATATGTATGTATAAGTTTTGGGCTTAATTTCACGTTTAAAATGTTGAAGTCCATCTGAAGCAAAATAAAATTTTAAGTTTATTTTTCAGTAATGAAAGAGCAGACGGACGCAAACAACACTCAGCAAGTTGATTATTCTTGCTTTTAAATGCGTTTAAGTCGGCCTTCATGTATATCTAGCATTTCTAGCTCCTCACCCATTAAAATTACTTTCCACTTGGGTTATGGGCAACCATTGTCGTCTAAGCCTTTTGTTGCTGTTGTTGCTGCCACATGAACAGTTTTTCAACTAGCTCCACTTTGGAATAATTTTTATTTTCAGTCCAGCCAGAAGTAATGTCACTGTTGCTCCTGGGGTTGTTGAAGCTACTGTTGTTGCTAGTTGTGCTGCTGTTGCGGCTACTGTAGCGATAGCAATAGGTACCGTTCCGCCAACTGGCAAAAGTGTTACGATTTGTATAATCATTGGTTGATTGTGAACTGAAATTGTTGCTATTTATATTAAGATTGGTTGTTTGAAGAACTGTAGTTGTAGCTATAGCTGAAGTTGGCGAAACATTTTGAAGATTGCGCTTAAGGAACTCTGATTGTTAATAGGGTCGACTGGCATCCTTGGGCCGTTTCAATTGAACTTTCAGTCTTTTCATACCAATCTGAAAGCCATTCATGGCCTGAATGGCCGCTTGAGCGCTGGCGGGGTTGTCAAATGAAACAAAACCTTTGGGAAAAACATAAAAGGTCATATTTGTATATATATATATATATGTATGTGCATATATATTGATGTGATTTTACCGAAACATTTACTCTGGTTTGTAGCACGATCTATAAAGACTTTAGAGCTGATCACATTGCCAAACGGCAGGAACATTTGCATTAACTCTGCATCACCAAATTCTTGTGGCAAATGATAGATGAACAGATTGCAACCCTCTGGTCCGGATATAGAACATCCTGGGAACATCAGAAAATCTTAAAAAAAGATATTACAAGAAAAGAAACAAAGTAGAGAAAATAAATTAAGCGATGCGAAAAATCAAAAGATAGAACCTTATGTTTTGAATGACAGAAAAAGTTTGATTTTGAATGATTATGCCAGTGTGTGTAATTGTGACTAAAGTATCAACAGAAGCTAAATGCTTATAAAGAGCTTCAAATTATAAGACGTACATAGTTTTATGAAATGAATTTCTATTTGTAAATTTTAAACCCCAAAAGGAATTTAAAATCTTGCAGGATTCTTAAAAGGTCATACGTTCTTGTTAACGTAACAAGAATTTAAGGTGATTTACATAGCAGGCTAGTGGCATGCAAAGAATTACGAAACTCAAGTGTAAGACGTTCTCCGCGCAATAAATATGTAAAACGTTACATTAAGTCGAGCTTCAACTAAGATACAAGTGAGCACAGTTAGTACACTTACACAAGAAGGTAACATACAAACACATAGGACACGCACAGCGTAGATAAACATGTACAAGTATATAGACTGTATATACTTATGTCTTGCGATTAGTGGTATATAGAATACTAATATCTTCAAAAGATAAAGTAAAAAGGAAAAAAAATAAAATAAAAGCTTGTTTTGATATAACGCCTTAATACTAAAGTACTTTACAAGAGAGGATTTTTCTTTATTATTTTAACAGTTTATGTCATATTTATGATCACATAAAATGCTTTTAAGTGTACCCATTGTAAGAAGGCTGGTCAAAAAGCTTTAAGCAACCCTTTTGATGTAACACATTGAGTGTACAGATTATAAATGATAAGTATGTTCAAATAGAGGAAATTGATACATAAGTTTTAAATGTGATGTGTTTACTCAAGGTAAAGAAAAAATGCCTGATCAGTTCAAACGTTTCAACTTCATTTGGATTATTAAATTCTAGTGGGGATAGAAACGAGTATTATCTTGTGTGCGAAAAGGACACTACGCGAAAAAAAATGGTTGAGTAGTTTGCTGGTTCACAAAGTTTTAAATAATTGAAAACCATAAACAAACAGCGCAATAGGTTTCTCTGTCCTTTTGTGATTTAGTGATTCAGTGATATTGAGTGTAAAAATCATACATATGCATATACTACAAGTATATGTATGGATTTTAATGTTTTAAACATAAAATGCAATATCAAGTAATAATAAATAAAACAGAAAAAAAGAAAGAAAGGCTTACCTTCACGTTGAGTGGGTGCAACCGCCGCTAGGGGGGGTGGTAAAGCTTGTGGAAACTGTCCATAAACGGCGGGAAAGGCTGCATTATATATATAAATAATTTTTGTTTTTGGTTTACACAAATTCCAAAACACTTATAGAACAACAACAATATTTTCAGTTTCAACTTTAAAGCATTATTTGTTTAGTATTTAAATGTTAAACAAAAAGATAAGAATAAATAAGTACAAGTTTAAGGTTTAGACACGACATATAATAGATTGAATAGTTGCGGTTGGTCGATTTGTATCAAGGTTAAGCTGAGAGGATAGTGTATGCATAAGTCAACAAAATCATATGTTGAACAAATTTAAGTGGGACTATGCTAATCGAAATCTTTTTTCAAATCAACTAAATGTATATAGTTTGCTAGTATATTTGTATTAATAAATATTTAAAGAAAACTTTTTAAAAAAGCAAAAGAAAAATTACTTTAACTAAAATAAAGTTAAATATATGTTTTTAAATAAAAATGTTCAGTATAAATACAAATGACAATTTTTGATCATTTATATCTGGCAAATAATAATACTTTATAATATTAATAACGATTAAATTTGACTTCATACTGTTTATATACTCTTCAATAACACATTTGTACACAAGCATTAATAATTTTGCGTCGTTTTTTAATTTGGTTTGTACTTCAACCTTCATTACGGTCACTATAAACGAGATCTAAAATCATCAAAACTAATCTGCAAATGGATATTTAACTGTGATATTACCGTCATGTTAATATCTCGAAGAAATACGTCTTTACATAGAAAGGTTTTTATTATATTTGCTTTATCCTAATATATTGAGTAGGTATAAGTAGGTATAGAATAAGATATAAGTCAAATTTTGTCCTTGGGAGTAATATAAATATGAAAACAAAATAGAAAATAACTGAACGATTTTTTTTATCAAGCATTGGGACAGCGATCAAGTTTTCTTTAGTTTATTCCGAACAGGAATGTCAAGATACACCAAATATACGATAAAAGTCTATCCCTACCAATTAAAATTAAAGCATTTACATAAAATGCAATGATAGCAAATACACGTATAAAGAAGAACATTGATTTAAGATAAATGTTTATTTAGAAGACACACAAAGTTGTGAAGTTGCTGCATCCTGCAGCAATTATGAAATTCATTTTTGAAAGGCTGGGATATTTTACAGGAATAATAAATATTAATTGCTAAGCTTCACAACATTATGATTTATCTTTTTCACAAATAAACTTAAATGTATGTAGAAATTTGAGTAATATAACACATTTACTAACAATACAAATTGCATAGCACACAAAATAACATATTTCGATCAAATCTATTAAGAAATGATTAGATGTTTGTTTTTGACTAATTAACTGACAAAATGGGAACCAGCAGAAATTGTAGTTGAGTATCGGAAATTTAGTGATGTGGTAAGGCGACATCATGAATATCCATTAACTGTTGTACTAATGACTTAATCCTATTTTCTATGTTACCCTTGTGTATTCTTGATGCGGTAAAGGTTAGCGCTACCCTTTTTACTTAAAAAATAACGCTGGGCGGTAGCCTTACTTACCAACTCCTGGAAACGGTGGCAAACCAGGGAAGGCATGTTGCAGAGTAGCAGCATCAGCATTTGGCAATCCTTGCGATGGTATAGTTAAGTGAAGAGGATCTAAGAGAAATATTGCGATTTAAAATATAGTAGTATACCTTATGGCATCTTTGGAATGCTGCTAGGGCTTCAGTATACTCACGTGCTGGGAATGCCGTTTGCGGAATGCCATTAGTAAATACACCATCCGCAGCAGCTGCAGCAGCCGCGCCTCCTGGCTGTCCGGTGGGCGTGTTGGCGCCCATATTAAAGTTGGGCATGGTAGGAGACGGAAGTGACGGTGGCTGTCCAGTTCCAGTTAGTCCATGAGGTATTTGCGTTGCCAATGCTGCCATTGGATTCATGTAAGTTGTCGAACCGGGCGCGGTTGCAGCGGCTGCCATTAAAGCGGCTGTTTGCTGCTGCTGGGGATTTTAAAAAGTAACCATCAGACTGAAGAAGAGTGCATTAAGTTTTACCTGCGCGTAGGCGCCATATGGACCGAATTGATTAAACACAAACGGATTTAGTAAGTTCATATGACCTGCCATTTGTTGCATGCGTCGAATTTGTCGCTCCTTCTCAGTGTCGGCGTATTTCACAACAAGACTTGAAGATGCTCCCTATAAAAGAAAGAACCGTGTAAATATGAATAAGTTCCACAAACTTTGATATTTAATTTCCGCTTCCTCCAAGTATTGTGCGGAAAACGTGTTTTTCATGGAACTGAAAAAATGCTATTATTATTATTTAGTTACAAAAACATAATTACAAAGACTAGAACGAAAAAGTCTCTTATACTCTGTACATGAAATGTACAAGAGAAGGAGAAGGAGGCGTGGAAGGCCCCACAAAGTATTCATGTATACTTGTATATTACTGAGCAGCATGACACGACAAGTCGATCTACTATATGTCTGTCTGTCCGCCCGTATGAACACCTGGAGCTCAGAGACTATAAGAGGTAGAGAAATAAAACTTTGCACAAATATGCTTTATGTGTATTCGCTATATTTTATGTTTTTTTAGCCTGTACCCAAAGGTTAAAAGGCTACACCAGTTTAGTGCGAATGTATGTAACAGTCGATATAGCCATGTCCGCCTGCCCGTCTGTCGGTCTGTATGATCGCAGGGATCTCAGAAGGTACACGAGACAGAGTTACCAAAATTGGCATCAAGGTTCCCCTAAGCCCTAGGTAGGTCAAGTTTGTTTTTATTATTCTGATATCCCCCCACTCCCACGCGATTACTGATTTTTGGTATTTACAACTTAAATTTGGTAGTTACATCCAGTTAGTACTTATGTGTCCGTATGTCAACTTTCATTATGGTAGGTTGATTAGGTAGAAAGTTATAGCCATAAACATAATCTCTGCCGAAGCTCTGTCCGCAGCTGTTGTTGTTGTTGCTGCTTTGTTTCAACTTTTAGATTCTGATGTAAATGTATGCTGTTGAAACTTGTATTTAATTTAATTAAATAATTTAACTAATCAAATTGTTTCAAATTTTTTTTTAAATATTTAAAAAATTTTTTTTATTTTTTGTGGGAGGTACAGGGTATTTAAGAGTTGAGCTTGCTCGACTTTAGCATTCCTTTGTTGTTTCTCATTGTTGAAGGCGCGAAACTAAACGATATAAAATAGTTCTTTATTTACTTTGAAAAAAAAAAACAAGTAAAAAAGCTAAAGTCGGGTATCCGGACTTTGAAATACTCTGTACATATGTTTACAATAATTATAGAAAATAAAAAAATTAAGAAAATAAAAAAAACAAGAAAGGAATGCTAAAGTCGAGCAGGCTCAACTCTTAAATACCCTGTACCACCCCACAAAAAAGTAATTTAATTAATTAATTAATTTAATTTAATTAATTAACTAAATTAATTTAATTAATTAACTAAATATTAACTAATTAAATATAAAATATTCCATGCATGCATACATACATTTACATTTACATCAGAATCGTGCCTTATGCGTGTTTGTGTACTTGTACATATGTATGTAAGTGTGCATTGGGCCTGGTTATATGGCTATAACTTTCTTTTCGATCATTCTATCATAATGAAACTTGGTATACGGATATATAATTACTAACCTAATATGACTACCAAATTTTAGTTCAAAATTCCAAGAATTACGGGAGTTATAGAAAATCGGTAATAGGGGGGGAGTGGGGGGGTGGATCAGAAAAAATGAACAAACTCGTCCTTTCTCGGTCTCAGGAGAATCTGTATACCAAGTTTGATTATTCTAGCTCTTATACTTTCGGAGATCCTTGCGTTCATACAGACAGACAGACAGACAGACGGACAGACGGACAGACGGACAGACGGACAGACGGACAGACGGACATGGCTATATCGACTCGGCTTGTCATGCTGATCAAGAATATATATACTTTGTGGGGTCTACCAAGCCTCCTTCTGTGTGTTCCATGTGCACTCGCACAAAACTAATATACCCTTGTACCCTTTGGGTACAGGGTATAAAAATTCAATAATCGATTTACCTCTCTCGGTATTCGAACTCACGTAAAGGGTTTATAATTGCACATTTACATAGCAATTACGTCTGTGTGAGTGTATGTATGCCTATGCGCATCTATTCGTGTCTGTGTAAGCATTTTCGCAGTCAACCAAACAGCAACATCAACAACAGCCGCGGGCAGCGCTTGAGCAGCGCTGCAGCAGCAAATATATTTATGGCTATAACTTCTTGTTAAATCGGTCTATCATAGTGAAACTTGGCATACGGACACATAATAACTAACTGGGGGTATTTGCAAAATTTTAGTTCGAAATTCCAAGAATTTCGGGAGTTACGATTTGTGGGGTAGAGGGGGGAGGGAGGGGAATTCCAAAATATACATTTTCTGCGTATTCACATAAGGCATCTGGGACTAAAATTTGGTGTTCCTAGGTCTTATAGTCTCCGAGATATAGGCGATTATACGAATGGAAAATCGGGAAAACCCCCATAGGGGGGAAGTGGGGGGGAAAATCAAAAAAATAAAACAAACTCGTATAGAATACACACATAACGCATCTTTGTGGAAAATTTGGTGTCTCTATCTCTTATAGTCTCTGAGATCCAGGTGTTCATACGGACGGACAGACGGACAGACGGACAGACAGACAGACAGGGCTAGATCGACTCGTCTCGTCATGCTGATCAAGAATATATATACTTTGTGGGGTCTGCCACGCCTCCTTCTGTCTGTTACATTTTTCAACTCCCGCAAACCTAATATACTCTTGTACATTTCATGTACAGAGTATAAAAACAATAAATTTAATTGATTCATTTATAGAGGATGGATTGCATGTTTCTTCAAACTTTTTATACTCTGTGCATGAAATGTATAAGAGTATATTAGGTTTGCGGGAGCTGAAAATGTAACAGGCAGAAGGAGGAGTGGCGGACCCCACAAAGTATATATATTCATGATCAGCATGACGAGACGAGTCGATCTAGCCCTGTCTGTCAGTCTGTCCGTCTGTCAGTCTGTCCGTATGAACACCTGGATCGCAGAGACTATAAGAGCTAGAGACACCAAATTTTGCACAAAGATGCCTTATGTATGTACGCTGTGCAATAATCGCCTATATCTCGGAGATTAGTTCCATATTGGAATTCCCTCCCTCCCCCCTCTCCCACGCAATCACTAATTTTCCATAACTCCCGTATTTCTTCGTATTTTTCATTTAAATTCGGAAGATCTGCCCAGTTAGTGATTATGAGTCCGTATGCCAAGTTTCATATTGATGTGTCGATTGAACAGGAAGTTATAACCATATATGTATATATGACACGCATAATTAGTCCACACATATGTACAAAGTATTTCGAAGTCGGGACACCCGCCTTTAGCTACTCTACTTGTTTTATTTAATACCTTAAGTCTTCATTGAGTTGATTATTTATACAAAAATACTTTTTTGAAATTGACACACCTTATGATGTAACCTGCAACTGCTTTATTATGTTTTATGAGAGAGTGAAAATTACGAAAGTGCAACCATTATTTGAAAAGGATATCTTTCCTTACAAATGTATATCAGACATACAATGTTAGAAAAATGTAGGCTACTTATAAAGGCAAACTGAATATGTAAATAGTTAATATTGAATAGAAATCATAATCATAATTAATATGTTAACATTTAGAATTAAATATGAAAATAGTCGCCATTAACCAAACTTGGTATATAGAACCTCCTTGTCCCTAAGCAGCGGCAGCTTCTTTTATTTTCAAATGCTGCATAAACCAAACATTGTACACGAAATCTATACACAATTAAGAAATTAATAAGAAAAGGGGGGGGGGGGGGGGGGGGGGGGGGGGGGGGTCTGACTGGTGGGTTTGCTGATTTAAATGCATATTGACAACAAATTTGTGCGACCCTCCGAGGCGTTGACAAATTGCTGGTCACACAAGTAAGAACTTGACTATTTTAAATTATGGTCTACGTTTACGGGCCAACACCTAAAAGAGCGCAACAAGCAAAAACCACTGCCATGTCGGTGCCTGAATAATAATTTTGGCACGATTGCCATGTTAACATGTCCCCAGACACGTAGCGCAAGCAACACTGCATACTTGCAGGCGCATGTGAGTTTATTATGTGTGCTGGCTGCGCGCCTGGCTGCATTTCAACACCCTTGTTGCTATGTGTTCGCTCATATGTGTGTGCCACGTTTATGCTTGCGGCTTGTAGCGCCATTAGTGAACACAGCTGGGGTAATCACTGTGCCTCTTGTTGCCGGTGCCTGGTCATATGCCCTCCATTCGGCTGCCTGAAATACTCTCAGCCCCGTAGCGCGGCAGCATTGTGCAAGAGGAATATAGCCGCCTACGGTAAAAGGAGGGCTACAAACCAACAGGTTTATCATGTACGAGAGCCAGCCCTTAGCATTTGCATTTAAATAAATACGTGCGCGGATTTTGGCGCAGACAAATTACTTTTTAAATGCATTCAATTGTAATTGCGTTGCCTGGCCACTTCGGCCTCGCTTTACCGTCGTGCTACTTGTAACTTTGCCAAAAACTAGCCAGAAAAGTTAAGCGATGCACATTAAAAAACAATAAAAAAATGTATAGCCGAGTGCCAAAATGGCAAGGGCAAAGAAGCGATCAGACGACAACGTCAACGGCGATGGCAGAGAGGCCGCACTAATAGCGTCACGTTTGTAAGTGTGCCGCATGCCACTTGCCACAGAAGTGGCATGCAACATGCGATTGCTGCCAAAAGTGCCGCCTGGCAAAGAGCCCAAATCGCCTGGGCTCCAACACAGACACGGGTCTGACGATGACGGTGCGGCCTCTACTAGTTGGCTTGTTAGTAGCTTGCCTGCCTGCCGCCTGTTGCATCGGCGTGTTGAATTTTTCATTTCATTTGGCGTAGCAATTCACTCGAATGGGAATTTCGTGTTTGGCAACACTTGCTGGAGGGGTTGCCGTCTTGTGGTTGCTGCCTCGGGTAAGTTGCCAACTAACACAGCAAACGGAAGCGGAAGTGACAGCCAAACTACGACATATGGAAGTAGACCTTATAATAAACGCTTCTATGAGGATGTAGCTATCATTGACTAACGGACTGACGTCTGAGTATTCTACATAA